TGGAGCTCACCTTTACAGCTGGGGTTACATGTCTGTCAGTCACACACTAGCAGATACAGACAGACAAACACGTTTTAACAAAAGGATGCACACACACTCTCAGTCGAATCCGTTTTAACACATGTGCTTTGTCAAATCAGATTTTAGAGACTGAAAAACCTCTGCAGCAACATACAGTGTGATCATAATGTAAGCCATACTATAAGGTGCATCTTAAAACAGTCGGAAATCGTTTTAACTGCAACAAAATCTGAACTTAAAAACAATATTTTGCCACATTTCTTGCTAACTCTGGGTCTACAAGGTTGAGTTGGCTCACATAAGTAGGTTCTGTGGGAATAAGCAATTAAGAGTGTAAAGCTGAAGTAAAACGACAAAGATTTTAGTCTTCTTGTTAACTTTTCTGCCTCTCTGCCTGAGTCTCCTCAAGTTAATCAAATAAATAATTAAGCATCAGAAAAGGCAGGGTTAATAGTTAGCCCCCAAACACAGCTTCCGCTAAATTGCTAATGCCTGAGCTTCCCTCTCTTCCCACAAGTCCTTATTAATTTATGTATTCATACATTTATTCATGGTTTACATCAGAACCTCATCATTCATTCTGGCTGAAGTACGAGGCTCTCTTGGTTGGTAGGCACCGGCTAAACCCAAATCTACTGCACCAATTTTAGTTTATCTCTCACTCTTAGCTCACCTTTGTTGACTCCAACTTGTTGTATTTACATGTGTTCATCATATCCAACAACAAAACCCCTTCAGACTTGTCAACTTGAGCTGAACTTACATTCTCTGGACAGCGGAACACACTGTACTGTAGAACAAGCAACAAAAAGAGGGTTTAAAAAAAAAAAGGCAAGAGGGGATCAATGTGCTCCGAGATGTTTGTGAAGATGAGTGGAAAGAGAGAGCACTCAGTAGAAGGTGACAGCTTCCCTATAGAGCTGCCAGTCATGCTACACAGCACCCGCTCGCACTACAGAGGACACCTCTGGCCAGCTGAGAACTTATTGATCTAAACTCTCACACTCCTTCTCCACTCCTTACACTCCACTTTTCTCCTCTCTCCCTTTGTCTCCTCTTCCTATTGGCCTGTCAGTCTCCCCTCCAAGCTTTATTTTCTTTTCAGACTTCATCTTGCACTCGGTGTCTGCCGCACAGGGCAAACATTTTCAACAGTGATAGATTTTAAACTATTTTTTTTTATTTCAGCCCCAAGTCTTTCTGCTGGCTGATCTAACAAACGGCAGTTTTTAAGCCATGAACGTAGTTGAGGTGATTCATTTAATCTAGTCTTGGATAACAGGGAGGAACATGGCTCTCTGCAACTATTGTGCTTTTCCTTATTTTCTGTTTTATATATATGTAATGTAACAAAGTGGGATGTTCATATTAAAGGTGGCCATAGAATAATCCCTGACTGTCCTGAATACTCTCCTTCTAACGCTTTCTTTACTTTGACTACAAGGGGACGTTGGCTTGTGAAAGATTTCTTTACATAGTCATCTGCTAAAGACAGGCTACTACATTATAGCCTACACTGCTAAATGAAGCTACATGCTAACACCAGGGAAACACGCAAACAACCGATTGTCGATGTTGTTAATTTCTCCCCAATTGTGGATAACATTCCTGCTGGAACATTTTTTAAAAGATGTTTGTTACGATAAATATTTGCAATTCATTTTAAAAGTTAACACATCAATTTTGACAAGTCCAAAGAAAGTACATCTTAGTCAGAGCCCTGAAAAGCAGCCTAGTGCTCAACACCATTCATTTTTCCTCAGTGACCTGGAGGTCAAATCCTGGAGGATGCAGAAAAAGTGCGATACAGAAAGCTCCGTGGGAAGGTGACAAGAGATCAGCAAGAGTTAGCAAGTCAGAGATGGAGTGTGAGGACGAGACAGAGTGTTAGAGAGAAAGGTGGAGTGTGAAACAGGGAGCAGGTGTGAGGGTAAAAAGAGCAAGAGTGTGAGGGGGAAGCTAGGAAGCTAAGGAGAGGGTTAAGTGCAAGGAGTCTCCATCTAACACTTCTCCCCCAACCAGATATCCACATCGACAGTTTGTGTGGACATGGCAGGCATGTGAGTGTGGACAAGCTTAACTTATGTGGTGGCTTACTGTCGACACAAGCATGTGCCCTTCTATATATTAACTGTGACTCTTTGTGTGTGGGGCTGTGAAGTGGGATTAGCTGAAGAAGTATTTTTTTAACCTCACTGTAAATTCATATTTAAAGTTTTGATGATGATGTTCTCAAGGTTCCACAACAAAGACAGACTGGATAATTCAGCAGTACCACTGGTTTACGTTATGGTCATCAGTCAGTCTAAATTGTCAGTTAACATCATTACAAATTTATTTCTGAGAAATTATCAAAGACTGTACTACAACAATGAATGAAGCCATTGTTGTTGTTGTGGACTCCTGTTTTAAAGCCTCCAATTTGGCATTTTTGCCACTGCCATCCTAACAGGAGCGAGTGTCTGTTTGTTGTGTCTGCACAGCGAGAACTAGGAATGATTCATAAAAAGCTGTTTTGAGGAACTTTATAAGCTGCTGTTTTAAGAGTAGGTACCTCCCAGCACAAGAGGAACCATGAGTGATTAAAGTGTACATTTATTGGTCGAACCCAGCCAATGCAGCACCAGCAAGCGCTTTGTAAACAACCAACAACATAAAAACACAAACAACAGTTCATAACAAAAAAAAGGGAAGAAATCACAGACATATGTGCTGACAGTGACATCCAGACCATACTGAACATGATTTTGACTCCATAACGCAAAAGTGACATTGCTGTACCAACTGCTGTCACTTCAGTGTTCCTATTAGCGGTGCAAAGTTCTCAGGGGAGCCCCACAGTGATCAGTTCCTCTCAGGGAGTCCCCAGAAGTGTTTGGTCAGAAAATGCCTAAAGGCTGTGGTGATACCTCACAAACAGCCTGTTACTCAAAGGGTCCACACCCTTAATTATGCATAACTTAATAAAAATTAAATGGGTGGGTTGTATAAAAATTCATCCCTGGCTCAGTCATCATGAATGTTGAAATTAGCTATACAGACCAAAACTGTTTTCTGTACCAGGCTGTAGACATGTTTATTCTGCTGTAAAGTCGAGCATTGTAACATGGGGGCCTATGAGGATTGATTCACTTTAGGAGTCAGCCTTAAGAGGCCATTAGAGGAACTGCAGGTTTTTGCACTTCTGTGTTGGCTTCATTTTTTACCTTTAGAGGTTGCCATTTGGAAATTATGTCTTTTTCTATAGATGCATGATAATATTGTCTCGTCATCAGTATCAGCCCATATTGGCTTTAAAATGAACTGTTGGAATCGGCCAACATGCTGATAATATTGGTACGTCATCGATATCTGGCAATATTGGCTTTAAAAGGAACTATAAGAATCACCCAACTTCGATTCTCTTATTTTGCACAATGAATGACGAGTATGCATGCCTAATATGATATTGATTGCTTGATGAGATTTGATGATCACTAAAAGTAGGTGGGGAAAAAAGTGGATATATTGATATCGGTATCGATTATTGGCATATATCGGCATATCGGATATAGGCAAAAAAGTCCAATATCATGCATCACTAGTTTTTTTCTGTCACTTTACCATGATATATGGCTCTAAACCCTACAATACCAAGTGCTTCAACTGCACCTAACACTGTCTAAGCTAAAAATAATCTTAACTTTTACTTCTGTCACCCTGGATGCCCAAAAAAACTCCTCCTACTCCACACCTCTATATGTGTGCATGTGTTTAAGTTGGCATCGGAGAACATAGGCAGGTGGGTGGGCAAGGAATGTGTGTGATAGTTTTCTATTGAGTAGTCCACAGTGTGCGTTTGTGTGTGTGTGTGTGTGTGTGTGTGTGTGTGGCTTGAGGGACTGGTCTGTGGGGAGCTGATTGCGCGGGCTCTCATTATGTGGCCAGTGGCTGTAATAGAGTGTGACAGCAGCGTGCTGTGCTCTGGATCTCTGTCCTTCCAGCCTGCAAAGCCAATTAAACACACTCTGCCCTGCTCTCCCACTGCCTCGCTCTGCATCGCCCTCCATCACTCGCTCCTTCCCTGCTTCTTTTCACCCTCCAACCTCACCCTCACCACCACCACCGCCACCGTGAGCTCCCCATCCCCACCTTATCCGTCCCCACTCTCTCTGGGGCCTTACATGCCATCCTTTGTAGCTGACTCTCTCTAACCCCTCCAAAATCACCACATACTTCCAGCTCTTTCCTCACTCTTTTGCTTCTGGCTCTTATTTCTTGTTGTCTACATGACAATCAAAACCGCCGCCGATTGCTTCTGCCCTCCCTCACGTCCTCAAGCCTCTCTTCACTCACCCCCCCCCCCCCCCCCCCCCCCCCCCCCCCCCCCCCCCCCCCCCCCCCCCCCAAGCCATCATAACGCCTGTCTCCCAGTGGCTTTGCAGTAAAGCAGAGCTCCTTTTGGGGAAGGGGGGCAGAAAGAGAATTTCTGGGCTGTAGGGGGAGAAAGCCTCTGATGACAGCTTCCCTGTGTGCTGCCACACACTCACTTAAGGGAGTGGAAGAGAGAGGAAGAGGAAGAGGGAGAGAGCAATACTTGGTTTCTCAAGACCCAGAGCAGTCACAACCACTTAGGAGGAAAAATGCCCTGCAGCACCAAAAACACACATAGTCCATTTATCACTCCCTCATAGTCCCCAAAAATGTGCACACACACACATGCAGTACACACATATTCAATTTCTGTGTGTGTGTGCTTCGTGGACTGGACTCCTGGTTTTTAAGTGTTTAAAATCAAGCCCTGAAAGTGCAGTCTGCGGCAGAGACGAAAAAATCTTTTGACATCTTTCCTCCTTACGTGAATCCCTCCGACAGTACAACTCACGTAGATGCAATTAGTGACAGAATTCACTCCCTCTGAGGGAATGAGTGTGAACATGTACAGTGCTGTGGTGTGAGTTAAGAGTAGAGAGAAGAAGACCAGGAGGAGGGTTTGGTACCTGTTTTGAACCAGCCATCATCGGTGAAAGACTCTCTGGTCTCTTGAGGTTTGTTCCAGTACTCCTTGAAGACAGACGGACCGCGAACTAGGAGCTCCCCTTCTTTCTTCTCCAGACCTGGACGGACCTGCCATACATTGACAGAGAGAAAGGAGGAGGCCAAGATGGATGAGGTAAACAGTTTGAAAGAGTTGAGGGCAGTTTAAAGTAGCCAGAATAACACTTACAGTAAATGACTATCCACTTAATGGTGAGTGATGTACTGGCCAACAAAACAAAGACAACGCATGCTAGACTGAATCTCGCAGGCATGCAGAGTTATGAAGGCAAAATACTGTATCAAAATGGGTAATAAATACTAAAAATTAGAATATCCCATATGTTTTATTTATTTATGGAACATCTGCAGTCACTATCTGTATCCTGGCTACACTTCTTCTTGACAAACTTCTGTTTTTCATCCACTGTCTGCAGATAAAATCAGCTTATGACTTGTTAGTTTAAAGTTTACCTGAGTCTCACGGTGACTGCCCTCCACAATTGTGGTGTTAGTTGTGTTATTCATGACAATCCGGACTTCCACACTGGGGAGCGGCAACCCTACAGCCCCTGTCAACAAATCAAGCAGAAATACAGACAAAAAACACATGAGTACAAAGGGAGAGAACACTATTGAAAGCAAGATGGGATGATTTTTGTCCCTTTTCCAGCAGTTAAACACGTACATGAGCAATAACCAGTGGAGTGATCGTCACCAACCTTAAGTGCAGGATTTCTACCACAGTGAGAGTGCTCCCTCACCATGGCATTAACCTTCGTCTGCAGGGCATAACTGGTCACTAAATGGTTTGCTGAGCTTGTAAAACACTAAACTGAAAGCCATTCGTCTCAGTCACCACAAGTCAGCTTACTTGGACAGTAATGGGGATTTCTGAGGTAAAGCTTGATGCAGCTGTTTTCTCTGACATCAAGTAAACTCCAAATAAGAGAACTCTTAAAAACAGATGCCAGGCTGAGAATACACTCCAGGACACTGTGATCTATCAGGAAGTATTCTCAAAATTCTACTAAATGGCAGTATCCATGGCATTAAAGGAGCAGTGTGTATGATTTAGTAGCATCTAGTAGATTGCAACCAATTCACAACCCCTCTGCTTTTCCCTTTTCCCAAGCACGTAGTATAAACTATGTTGGCCTTCAGGTAACGTAAAAATGCTTAAGGCACTCTCTAGAGCCAGTGTTTTGTTTGTTGTTTAGAAAAATGGCGGTGCAACATTGCAGTCTTTGTGGACAAGAACCTACTCCCTATGTCGATATGAAGGGGTCACGGGGGGCTGGAGCCTATCCCAGCTGACATTGGGCGAGAGGCAGGGTACACCCTGGACAGGCTGCCAGACTATCACAGGGCTGACACATAGAGACAGACAACCATTCACACTCACATTCACACCTATGGACAATTTAGAGTCACCAATTAACCTGCATGTCTTTCGATTGTGGGAGGAAGCTGGAAAACCCAGAGAAAACCCACGCTGACACGGGGAAAACATGCGAACACCGCACAGAAGGGCTCCCCCACCCCAATGCAAACCACTGCACCACTGTGTCGCCACAACAACAATTCTTATTTTGAGGTAATTATACACTAATAAAAACATAATTATGATTATATTCCTTTTCTGCCAATAGATTCCCATAAACACTGGACCTTTAAGTCAACCCATAATTCAAAACATCCCTTCCCTCCACACACACAATGTCAGTAATACTCCATGCGCCTCCAGTTAAATAACACACTCTTGACTTCTTTTTGTTTTATGCTGTTTCAGGCTCCACAGTAAAATCCAGCCATTTAGTCCAAACTACCGCTGAGTGCTTGACAAGGCTTTTTATTGCAGCACAGTTGCATAAAATTGTTATAACTGAGCTGCCAAATTATGAAATACAATAAGAGCTGAGCGTCAAAACCATTCATAACTGTGAGCTGCAGTAATGTTTAAGTGAAACTATTAATACGAAATATGTAAAAAGAAAAGACTTACAAATTGAAAATCCTCACATGTACTGACGTCACCTGCAGCCTCCATCTGTGTGTGCAAGTGTGACCTCCTGAGTTAAGTAATTATAGCAAAGAGTGCACAGGGGGATGCACTGAGAAGGTCTCAGTGGTCTTTTCTGTGCGTGTGTGTGAGTGTGTGCGTGCCTGCCTTAAGGCTATCATGCCATTTCACAGACCACTGCTCTCCCAATAAAGAGCAGGTCAGGTCCTGATTAAAGAGTGATTCTCTCACTTCATATTGATCTTATCCACTCCACTCCTGATTGGCAATGTCTATCACACACCATCACTTACACTCAGTCCAGCGGGGAAAACCAACTGACCACAGAAGTAACTGGGCTGTTTCTCAGTGGACGAGCAGGATGACACACACGCTTGAGTCAGAAGGTTAGACAAGCTGAATCTAGCCAAGTTATAATGATCGGTGCATCCTGAGCTGCTGTGGACGGTGCGAACAAGGTTAATTTAGACCTACGGCGTGAGGTAGCTCTGGAGGATAGAGTGGATCAGGATCGGCTACAGCTCAAGGACATTTCTGCAGGGTTGAACTGCCAGTATGTTTCATCAACTGCTTGTCGAACACTCAAATAGCTGCAGAAACCTGCTCTCCAAAACACAGTTCCGACTGGGGCTGTGTCCAACGTTTCTGTAACTTTCCAAAAACAACAATCTAACATTCACACTCACTTTACGCTGTGATTGGACAGCTGCGTGGAGGTGAGAAAGGAGCCAGGGTTTGAACTTCACTGTCTAGCTCTCTTTCTGATCAAATCTTAAGATCACCTTTGACCACCATGTTACAGAGTTCTTCAAGTCCTGTTTCCTTGAACTAAGAAATAAAGCAAAAATCAGATGTGTTGTCTTTAATGGATCTTGAACTATTAACTCACACTTTCATTTTCTCCCGTCTAGGTTATTGCAATTTCCAACACAAGTGCCTCAGTCAAGGAGCTCTAAATCATTTACAGCTGCTTCAAAATGCAGTTGCTGAACTATTAACTAGAACCTGCCGTTGATCCCACATTACAACCATTCTTGCATCCCTCCAATGGCTTCCTGTAACACTCTGAATAAACTACATGATCTTGTTGATTATATTCAAAGCACTGCATGGCCTTGCCTCCAGTTACATTTCTGATCTTCCTGTTCCTTGTTCTACTTCTCAACCACTCAGATCCTCAGTTCTGCCTTTCATCCATCCCCCACTCAAACTGCAAAACAAAAGCTGATCTTGCATTCGCTATTTTAGCTCCAGGCCTCTGGAATTATCGCCGCCAATCTATCAGGTTTGCTGAATCTTTGGATTGTCTTAAGCAGCTACTAAAAGCCCAGCTTTACGGGCAAATCTTTCTGTAGATCTTCATCCCTGTGTTATGTCTTGTCTTCCTGTGCTATAGTTTTGCATTCCTGTCATTGTGCTGTGTTCTATGTTCTGATTCATGTATACTCAATTCATAATTAATTCATTTGTTATTTTCACGTGTATGTGTCAAGCACTTTGTAATCGCGTTTTGAAAGGTGCTACATGGATTAAGCTGGCCTTTCACGTAAAGTTCGACCTTCCCACCCCCACAAGGTCTGGGAACACAGCAATACTGCAGCGTTGATGGAGAATGAACAGTTAAGCCAGATTATCTACACTGATAAACTTATGATAAACACCAAGTTTAGGAAGTGATTCTACTGTATTTCTTTGTTTTCAATCCAAATCTGTTTGGCTGATGTCTAATCATATGACAGCTTCAGTTTTTGCCCCATCAGACTATGCGATTATTAATGTTAATATTATTAGCAATCAGAAAGATGTCCGAAACCATGGAACTAATGCTGAAGGTCTAAAAGAACTGGATTGCCCTTTAAAACAAACCTGGTAAATCAGAGATTACAAAACCCAAACAACAAAAAAAAAAGTCTTGTCCACTTTTCCTTTGATCGAGTGAAGAGGTGTAGACAGAGCAATCTTGCTCGAGTTCTTCACCCCGTCCAGCAAAAACACTGCCATCTACGAAATGACAAAAACAGACTCGTCTCCCTCAATGACAAAGTCTCAGAAATCCATTTATGGTTCAACTGAGGGAATCTCTCTCCCCCATCTACGCCCTCCTCCATCATCATTTTTTTCCCTCTCATGTCAGGAGCTGTAGAAATCTCGGAGACTTTGTGGCATTCGGGCCGCGATGATTCAACAAGATTGAGGGCCATTTTGAGGAGTACAGGCAGCGTATAAATGCGACATGCTGGGTGGGAAAAGGTCTCTGTGGAATGGAGAAAGAAGGACAAAGGTCCAGATAGGATTGTTCTGCAGTCATTCTTCCAAGAAGTTAATGAAAGACATAAAGCTTTGAGCTGGATTACATCTAGAGGAGGATAAGATCTCTGCGTCAGTTAAAAAGATAGCAGCACAGTGCGATAATTATAATGGAAAGTATGAGGATGAACTAACCTCACATATTTACATCTCAACAAGGGCAATATGACCTAGAAAGCCTCGCTGCTGTTAATCTGGAATGCTCTAAAACTGTAAGATACACAACAAAATCAGGCCAATTAGATGCCCTAAATACAGTATAACATTATTAATACAACTGCTGTCAATAAGTGTATTAAGAGCTGAGTTGTCTGCTACTAAGTTGGCGGAGGGCAGAAAGAAAAGAAAGTGAGTGTGTGTGTAACAGAGGTGGAGGGAGAGGGTGACTCCACTCCACTACTCTTCTGAGAGTGTTTCCTGTGGTTGCTATTGATCCATTTTAACCTACTTAAAGACAAGACAAGAACACACTGACACAAACAGGCACGAGCTCATGCCTGCATACACTCACACCTACACAAACACACACATGCACACACGCATACACATGTCTTCCTCTGTGCTGCAGTGGAAACATCAATAGAACCACAGCCATTCTTAATAATCACCAGAGAGGAATCAAACACAGCCTGCTCAGTTTATGCCAAGCATTACCTGACAAACAAAACAAAACAATACCTCGACAAAACAGCAGACAGAGAATTACCCAAGCCACTTGCAAGCTAATTAGCTTTACCTGTAAGAGCAAGAGTTGGCTGGGGAACAGGGGGGAAGGAGGAGGTGGGGAGTGAGAGGGGAAGGGGGGAGGACAGGAGAAGACAGGAGAAGAAAGAAACCACCACTAGTCTGACCTCATTTCCAGACCTTGCCTTTGTTTCTGCATGTGCGAGGGAGGTGTCGTTGGGATCGTGGGGTTTTACCTGACATCACACCTGAGAGAACTGCCTACGATCAAAACACAACACATGAAGGTGAAGTGCTGAATCAAAGTGGGGAGGGAGGTGGAGCGATATCAGAGATATTTGAGAGATGTGATAGAAAAGAGAAAACTTACTAAGTGTGTGGTCACGCTAATAGTTTGGCTTCTTTCGTCAAATGTGTAGAATAATCAGGGAAAGGTGGCTGAATTAAACAAGCTGTCATTACTGCAGTGGCATCTCACTGGTAGACCTAGGCAATGATGTTGTAGTGTAGGCAAAAGTCTGCACTTTAAACCGCTATCATAAACACTCTGTCAAGAAATGAATCCCCGATTTACCCCTCCCAAGAAACTCAGGAGAAATCCAGTCTGGGACCTTGGTCGATACCGATGTTCGGCCCAGATTATCTGGTAATGTGACAGATTTTCAGATCCAGTCTTAAACCCCTCAAACTGCAACCTTGTTTGATATTTAGGATTAAAATCTGGATGATTAAAGTTAAGAATATGTCAGTGCAAAGCAGTTGACAGTGTTGCCAAGCAACAGTAAACCATCTAGACCTTGAGCTGATATTAGCTAGCACGCTGCTGTTGACACATAAAACTGACAGTTAAAATCTCTACTCCTGGTCTCGCTGAAGAGCAGACAACCGCGCTAACCTCATCTTTAACATTTTCTCATCCAGATAAATTTAGCCCTCTAACTTTTGCTTTTCTCATTGCAAAGCATTGTTGACAAAAAAATCAAGTTGTCTTACCACATCACTCTCCATTTTCTTTATATCAGCTTCCCCATGAGATCATGTGCAGTGGTGCATTTGTGCTCCCTCTGGCACAGTGATCTGAATAATATTCTGTTGTGTGATGAGCCATTATTTTCAAATCTTGCAGTGTGTGCATGTTCAGAGGATTAGGGCCATGTTAAAGAAAAAAAATATCTTAGATTTCCAGAATAAAGTCATAAATCTACGAGAATAAAGTCAAAATATTACAAGATTAAACTCATAGTTTTAAGAAAAAAGTCACAGATTATGAACGGAAAGTCGGGTAACATGGTATAAAAAGTGACAAAGTGTGTACAAACAGTGTTGGGGGTTACAGTAATACACATTTTAGCAGTACCAAAGTAATATAATGCGTTACCAACAGGATTTAAGGTGATATTATTACATTTACAATGTCACGTAACGTGGTACCACCCGGGAACTGTTCACACTGAGCCACACCACTCCACTTATGACTTTATTCTTGAAATCTACGTTGTTTTTTTTCTTTCACGTGGCCCTAACCCTCCTTCATATGTTTGAGATTGGAGAGAAGAACATCTGTGACGTTTCCTCTCATGTGCGTGACGCAGGCCAATTTCAAAATTGGTTAAAATTTTAAAGCGGTGATCCTAGACTTTAGGGGGCCTCAGGCCAAGAAGCTCATCGAGGCCCTGACAGTTATACCGTTGTTTGAATGATAGTTACAGGTAGCTAGCTGACTGTCTTAACTAATGGTATCCAGCTGTCCTATGGTTGCTAAAAACGGGCCGCATTTAGGGGGGGGTTTGGGGTAGTGGCAGTGCACTGTATAGTGCATCAAGGGGGATCATTTTCCCGAATTTTTTTGAGGAGCCCCAAACATTGACTGGGTTGCCTCTTTTGATGATTTGATGCCGTAAGTCTGAGTTGGCTTTTGACGTGGGCCTGGGGGCCATTTTAGCAAAATGACAGAAGGCCAGGGGCCAGTTGATAAACAAACATTGATATTTAATATATAAATAATTTTCTCTGACCTCTGTCGGTGGGTCTGGGGGATCCTCTCCTGCACTTTTTTTTAAAATAAATAAACAAGCTCTATTTTGATGCTTTTTTAATGCACCCTGGCACCTTATTAACATTCAAAATACAAAAAAATTCCCAGTGCAAATCAATTTATTTTCATTTTACAATTAGAAAATGGTCGGCAGGCCATCTGGCATCCTATTGGGCCGTAATTTGACTATCATTGGTCTATAAACTAGATGTCCAGAGGCTCTGAATAAAAACTGGCCCTGTTTTGATAGAAACCCAGCAGAATTCACCAACAAATCACCAAAACCACACATAATGAGATGTGCTATTAGCAGCTGCTCCACAAAAAGTTCAACTTTGGAAAAGAATGGAAAACAAAATCCCTACACCTCTGCTCTGTGAAGTCATTTTTATTTTAATTAATCTCCATGAAAGCCGCAAACTCTGTCTAAAACCATACTTCCTACCCACGTTTCTTGGACACACATTTTTTTTATCTATTTAATGTGATTATAGTGGAAGAAATCACTGATTGCAAGTTTGTTGATTGATAATCAGAAGCTAGCAAATTTTAAAAAGTAATGCCAGCTACACATAGGGCTTAATTACTACACAACAAACAAAAGAGGTAACAATGATGTTATTTTTTTCCTCTTTCAGCCTAAAATAACAAATTTCAGACTGATATTTTAGAAGTGCATAACATTCACATTTGGTTTGGTGCTGTAATTCACCTTTATTGATGTTCATACCAGTTAAGAGAAAATGCTGCCCTTGGTTTGTTTTGTCATAAAGAGGTTTTTAAGCTGCTGTAACTGCTGATTATCAGACGCCAAACATGTCTTGAAATGAACGCTTTGTTCTGGCTTCATTTCCTGCAGTTGATCCAGGAGTTGGGTTGTAACCTCACCACAGTTGGCTTGGAGAAAGACCAAGACCTGCATCTTCAACTGTCTCAGTGCTGTTAGTGTTTTTGATCCCTGAGGTCACATGACATGATTGTTATCAACCAGTGTAAAGGAGTCAGAATAAGTAACTCTCAACACAGGTAGAGAGTGACTGTAGTTTACTCACATCTTACTTTTACTGGTAGTAAAAGAAGTATGTATGTGTGTGTGTGTGTGTGTGTGTGTGAGTGTGCATCACTGTATCCAGCCGGTCAAACTTGTGTACCTGGGATGCGTTGGCCCTTAAGAGGGTTGGACAGTGCCATACCGATCTCTGTCATGCCGTAGCGTTCTAGCAGTGTGTGTCCTGTAATCTCCTCCCAGCGCTGCAGAGTGGGCAGAGGGAGAGCAGCGGAGCCTGAAACCATCAGCCTGGGGAGGGAGAGAGAGAGAGAGAGTGGGAGGGAGAGGGTCAGACATGAGGGAAACACACCAGGCTCTGAAGAACATATTCCAGGGTTATTCTATTCTGACTTTGTGAAACATGTCAATTAAAGTCAGGAATGGAAATTAACTGGGGATCAGTGTAATGACTGATTTGAAAGTTTAGGAAATTTCTGAGAAATATGAAAAGAGGACTAAAAAAAAAAAATTAGGAAGGTCATTTTTGTACATCCACAGTTCATAATATGTGCTGCACAGGCACATCTGAAAAATCAATACAGCATAGAACATCACAATAGTTTCGTTTGACAATATTGTATCTTCACACAGTGCCAAGTATCGATTTTTTTATTATTAATATTATAGATGCAAATTAAACTTTAGGTAGCCGACTTGAATAATATAATTAGCTGCTTTTTCAGTCCACTACATACATTTTGTTGCAAAAAAATGACTGAAGTGAGACGAACAGACTGAAAACTTTTTCTTATTTGATGAAACAGATGTTGATTAAGTTTTCCTTTAGGGAAATAATTTGCAGGTGTAATAATTTGCAACATATTTTATCGCAATGCTCAGCATATCGCAGCACATTTAAAATTCACAATAATATTGTATCATGACCGAAGTATCGTGATCATATTGTCTCGCGGAGCCTCTGGTGATTCCCATTCCTAGTTATTTTGGGAGTAAAGAAGTTGGGAATTTTGTCCACAGTGTTCCTGGTCAAAAATGCTGCAGCATATCATGAGGCAATAAAATGCCATCTAAAAACAATAGCAAATAGCCATTTTGATTTGCATGCACACATATATACAGCCACCAACTTCATTGCTCCTTGACAAAGATTGTACCAGATGCCTTTTTTTGCAGCTCCAGCTCCAGCATTGGAGCTGCTATTGAGGTTTTCAAATGAAGCTTTGAATGGCTGTCATCATGTCATATAACATTTAAAATCCTCAAACAAAATCCTCGGTTTGAATGACCTGATTCATGAGATTAAATGAATGTTAGAGCCGATGCAGATTTTTTTGTCACTGTGGTTATGTAAATGTAATATATGATGTTGTTAGACTGCTGCTAGACCGCCCTGCCTCCCTTTGTGTACAGCAAGCGAGAGAGCAAATAGTTTGTTGACCACAGTGAAAATGTAGTTGAGGAGGAATATTTTGTTAGATAAAAACATGTTGACTTTTTTTCCAATATATTTTGACTTCACAGTGCTTTGAAGTTATTGGAAATGAGTTGATAACAATCCCAAACAGCCACCGCATTATTCTACAAACAGTAATGTACTAATGATATTAGTGTAGGCTATCTTTTTATCTGCAACTGTGCAGAAACACCTGTTTTAAACAGAATAAATTGACATGCTATATGGTAGCTATCAAATGTCGATTTAGAATTTGAATGTCAATGTTATGAATGACGCTCAGAAGCTCAAATTATTCAGAACAGCCCCACTTGGTAAAAAATCTCCTTTAGGTGCCTCCTATCATTTTGTGACAACCATTTAATGACACTTTCAGCTGTCTAAGGAAGCAACTTTATATTTCCCCATGTCTTTATAACGGCTTTTCCATTAATTTGTCCCCAGTCTGTACATACACACATGCACATATGTGTATCCATGCACCAACCCATGAGTAAGCAATCTGTCATTGATGTCAGTACCTGATCCTCTCTTTGCAGACCGCTTTGACAAAGTCCTTGACGTGAGGCTGTGTGAAGTGCTGATCATAGTACTGGATCAGCTTAGAGTATATAGTTGGCACGGCCATGAACACATTAACCAGGGGAGCCTTGGAGCTCAGCAGCATCTCCCACACCTGGGACACAGAGAGAGAGGGAGACAGAAAGAGAGCGATAAGCACAACATACAAGCAAACAGGGAGTGAGGGAGAGAGGCAGATAAGAAAAGGCGAAAAAAAGGAAAGAGGTGTATCTAATGGACGGGGCCATGCAAACTAAATTATTACATCCAGGTTCATCCCATTAGCACATGTGAAAAGTGCCATTTTTTTCATTTATTTGATGTAAATGGCAGCGTAAGGTCCAGACAGTACCCTCATATTAAACCTGTCACCACAACGCCAAAAAAAGACAAGAAAGAAAATCAAGATTTGTAAAGGTCAGGAGGAGGAAAACAGCAGACTGCTGAAGGGCAGAGCCGGCACGTCGGCCAGTTAAAAGGCCTTCTGTACGGCTACTTTTGACAAATGTGCTTTTTGACTGTTGCAGAGGGAGCCGCTCACATCGTCCGCTGCAGCGAGCAGGCTGCTTTAAAACACAACGGCGTTAATGTACATAAACATACATCGTGAACTACGTGCACATATAAAAAATACTGTTCAAATATCACATAAACTCACTTGTTCAAGGACAAAGCTATTTTACACAGCCCGCCCCACTCACTCCCTCTCATCCCTCACACACACACACAAACACACAGTCTGGGTACATCACAGTAGACGATGGGAGGATGGGAACGACAGCATGAATTAAGTGAAGGTGAACGACAGCTTCTCTAAGTCCTGTCTGCCCCCCTCCCCCCCCCCCGGGAGACAAACGCTCCTCCCCAGCTGTCTCCGATTCCCCTCCCCTCTCAGTCTACTTATCCTCACTTCTTCTTCTTCTTCTTCTTTCATTCTACCTTCATTCCCCGAGTGCTTCTTTTTCATTCTCTACTTTCATCTCTGACCCCCACATCTTCCCTTCATCTTTCTCTCTCCCCTCTCCCCTTCGCTCCCTATCTCACATTCACTTACCTCCTCTCTCCATTTCGTAATTTCCTGCTTCGCTGCCTCTGCAGTCTCTCTCACCCTCTTTCTCTCTTTCTCACACACACACACACACACACACACACACACACACACCTAGACACATACTCACACACAGAAAGATGCAGTCTCTCCCATCATCCCTCTCACCTACAGTAGCACCACATCCTTCTTAATGTGCCGACAATTTCTAAACTCTTCCTTCCGCTTCTCCACAGAGTCACCTCATCGTAGACTAATCTATTATCTATCTAAATTCTCTCACCTCCTCTGCGTCTCATAAACAAACATAACTGAGATTTATAAGCAAATAGCGCTGAAATGATCAAGACTTTTCAACAGTCCAATTAGATCCCTATCTCGTTCCTCACAATATCATTATAAGTTAATCTTAAAAAACTGTGGGGGCTTCATGGTTCACCTGTACACACACAGAATAAAACTTTGTGCAGAGGGAAGGATTAGTGACTGAGTGTGCCCTGACCATTCTGGGTGGTGTCTATCAAGTGCAGTGGAGCGCTTCCACCAAGTCCAGACCGGAGGGGAGAGGAAGGCAATTTATGTCCGTCAAAGAGCTGGCCTCCACCTAGGGGACAGGATGTGATGAGAGCCGAGGGCCATGGCCTGCATCCTAAACAACTCTATGATCTGCTCGGGGCTCAACAGTAAACATGGGACTCAAATAGATTTGCTAATTCCTCTGGAGAAGGGCTGGATGTTGAACGTTGACGTGACTGCAGCACTGAGTATTGAAAACTGTCAAGTATCAAAAGTTTGCATTAATGCTTGGTCAGATCTTTAATCTAATTTACTTAGTTGTTCATTAACTATCATAACTGCATTAATTTTACACTGCGTTTAAGTTAGGAAAGTTTTTGTGCAGTGGTTTGTGTTAAAACTAAATTAAACACTGATGTGTTTGGTTCATTTAGTTAAAAAGAAAAAAATCCTCAAAGCAAGGTATCAAAAAAGGCATAGTTTTGGAATTGGCCATAGACTTTATAAAATAATGGACACAGCTAGTGACTGATTAGTTGGTGATTGATTGGTTTATGGAAGAGTTCGGTGTTTTGGCCGTCTTGGTTTGTTGGAGTCAGAGGCGACCATAGCTGGATGACAAGGTGGAGCAGTTGGAGGAGCGAGGGGTCGATGTGACTCACAAGAAATTGCGCTATAGGGTCGCTATGAAGTCTCTTCTTCATGCTGCTTTTGCATTTTTACACGGAACCAAACCACGGCGACATCGTGTTGCTCCACTATGTGATTTAAGACAGCATGCCAGCATCGTGGAATTGGAAGAGGTGTGACAGGTGTGACATGTTGCACAACAGCGTCGGCCTCTAGTGTGACATATAAAATTTGCGCGGCAATAACAATCATTTACCATCCTTGTTATATGGCAGTCACACAGTGCCATGTATCAACTAATATGACAAATACAAATTAAACTTTAGGTAACCTATGTGACCAATGTAATCAGTTACTTTTTCACTCCACTAGATACATTTTGCTGCAAGAAAAAAAAGACTGAAGTGAGATGAACAGACTGAAAACTTTTCCTTATTAGATAAAACAGATGTTGACAAAGTTTTCCTTTTGGGACATTATTTATAATTGAAAAAGGGTGATAAATCGTAATATATTTTATCTCAATACTCAGCATATTGCAACATATTAAAAATCGCAATAATACTGTATCGTGACTTATGTATCGTGATAATATCGTATCGTGGATCCTGATGATTCCAACCCCTAGAGTATAATAAAGGAGAGAACACTAGACAATGAAAATTAGAGTGTTTTAAACAACTGTTAGTACAGCTATGTGCTCTCAGAAGAGTTCTGGAAACAGTGAGCATACATTAGCGCTTTAAAAGCCATCCAGAGACGGCAAAAAGAGTTTGCAGTGGTCTTTGCAACAAATGCAATGTTGCATCATCATTTATTCTCTGAATCTGTTTCCATTACACTTAGCTGCATTAACCTTTTATTGATACACCTCTCTCAAGCGTAATCGAATTTTTCTGTGATATTTCGAGACATTTTTTGTCTCCCTTTAATTAGATATCACAATAATGTCTGTGACAACCTATAATGTGTTAATAAATAATTTCCTCACGATTAATCATAATGTTAATTGCTGTGATGAAGTAGTCTGTGTTTATTCAAATGTAAAACAAGAAATCTGACCGGTGCTGTCGTGTGAGCCCCAGGAAGAGTCTCTGCCCCATTTGAAAGAGACTTATAAGCGCTTTACTGGATCACAATTCCTGCACTGAAAATTTTTGTCACTATCTCCAGGCGAAATCAGAAAAAATCAATGCCGGCCTCTGCTTCCTAGGCTACCCTTCAGAGATCTTAGGGGATAGAAGAGACAGACTATCGATCACTTCATCAATGTACTGTTACTTCAGGAGGAGGAGAATAAAGGCTTTTTTCTGAGGGTGAGAGGAGGGGTTTTGTGGTTTGGTACACAAGGTCAGGGATAACAGCTGAATACTGATAGCTTTTACAGTGTAGCAATACCCATGTTGACACATACATATGTCCTTTTCAAGACCTTCCCTTTCCATCTACCTTTGCTGCCATTAAACTGTAGAGATCCTGACGTATATACCAAAACACCCAACAATGCAAAACGTGGACATCTACACCCCTATATGTTCCAAAACTACACCACACACACATACACACACTTAGCACCCCATCTTCCCCTCCCTTCTCAGGGCCAAACAAGCACCATCATCCTTCAATGTCAGCTCATTGATTGATCCGCTGCTTAAGCCCCTGCCGTGAGTCGGCATTGGTCAGATACAAAGCCACACAAGGCAATTCATCACTGAGCCCCAAACACTTAGTTTGACAGTCAGAGAGGGAGGAGGAGGAGGAGGAGGAGGGACTGACAGAAGGAGAGAGGAGGAGGAGACGAAACGGGGGAGAGAGGAAGGAGAAGAAAAGTGGAAGGGGAAAGGGAAACACTGATAGAGAAAGAGGGAGTGACGTGGAAAGAGCTGAAGGTCTTTTTCAGCACAGCAGCACCCTGCCCACACAGGACTTCTACATCTGAAATACTCCTTAGCCTCACTGTCAATGATAGCTGCGCTCTCATAGTCACCTCCTGAGCCTTACAGCTGTGCAACTGCCTCTTTTGTTCAGGTGTGTTAATGAAAATGTGTGCTGCACCAAGAGAAAGAGTAACAAGCTCGAGACAGAGACAGAGTGCAGTGGAGACCTTCTGAGGCTGGAATTCAGGCAGCATGACGCAGGTGGCGCCCACCCAGAGCGGGCACAGCAGCTTGTTAACGATGCCATGCACGTGGTGGAGCGGCAAGGTGTGGAGGATGACATCATCTCTGGACCACGCCCACTCTGAAACCAGACACTGGACCTGATGGTGACAGCAGGAAAGACAGAGCGGGGTCAGCAACCTCAGTCAGCTTCCACTGCTGCACACATTTGTTACAATATTTTGTGGTGGTGTGTTGCAGTTCAGTTGTTTAACTTCTTGTACCTATTTCCCTCTAAACTGCTGTATTCACAACTCAATTAGTAATTTCCTGCTGCTGCAAGAATGACTTCTGACAACCCCTGCGGACAATGAATTTGGTTACAGTTGAGAGCATAACAATAACTCAAAGTTATTATGAAATAACCGCATTATGATCTACTGAGACTCCTGTTAGTGGAGAAATCTCCATACAGCTCTGCAACAATTAATTTCTCCCTGCATGATGTGCAAACTGTTAGTATAGAAAGAAACACCAAAAATTTGATGTTAATCATTCAGGTTTTGAAATGCTTTCATTATACCTGCTCTGAAATTGAGTATCTCAGCATGATGTCATGTCACTGTATGTTTGTAGCAGGTTGCAGGAATAAAAGAAAAATCCCCAGCAAACAACAAAAGAGGCGCAATTCACTTAGGCATGTTTTCATTGTTTAAGTGTTGCACATTGAAGAAGCCAGTTGTTATTATGCAATACCACGTTTTAAATGTTATCATATAAGGCCTAAATAGTACATGGTGGATTGCTTGACTGTTTCTCATAGAAAATGACCCCTCAGTTACTGCAGGAATGAGGGATACTGAAGAAGTATTTCACAGCTGGAGAGATGCTCTTCTTATAAAAATGTCTGTGCAGTTGAATGACACAAATACTTTTGATATTGGTGCTACGCGACAAGAGAAAACAGAGACAAAGGACAATGGAATTTGCTTTTTCCCCAAGAGGTGGAAAACCTACAACTACCAGATCGCACTATGCCACACTGGGCCAATAAATGCTCACGCTGTTGGGTTATGTAATGCGAGCTGCTCGTCTGCACAATATGGCAGCCAGCCTCTAACAAACATTCTCATATTATAGTTAAACATTAAGTTAAAACACATAAATAGGCAATGCAGTATGTGTTTTAGTGTTTGATCTGAGTATTTTTAGCCCTCATTTTTCACAATAAAGGAAGCAGTATGGCACCCACTTCATGTTCGCAAACTCTCATATTACAGGTAAACTGTGCACTAAAATATGATTCTAAAGGCATTATGGGTGATAAATAGGCAACAGAGAACCAAAATCTTGGTTTATTTTTGATCAGCACTGCCTGGTTTTACAGTTTGATCAAAGTTTGAGACAGACAGAGTGAGTCTGTGGTGGCGGGCATACAAAACATGAGGAATTAAAATCTGTAGTTTGGGCAACAGCCCTGGGGCCAGCAAAAATCAGCTGGATTATTGCAAATGAGCAGGGAGATCTGTGCACCAGCAGAATAGATGTAGGCTAAGTCTATCACAGATCATGTACTGTACACATACGACCCACATTGTTGTATTACAAAGCTGGTTGAAATCTCCCTTTAATGTCTTATTTCTTCTTATTGTTCAGGATGTCACTTTACAACGGTTTATGTGATTTCTAAAGGCTGCAAATGTCTGATACATAATGGACCTCATCTTTTTTAAAACAAAAGTACAATATGTTCAGGCATATTTTTGCACAGCGAAAAAGGGAATGTTGTTGCCGTGCATTCAGTGAGTTTCAGGCACTTCTTCCCTTCATCATTTGCTTTTAGTCTTGGATTAAGGTAAATGAAAATTTGTATCAAAAATGCATTGTAATTTCAAACTCAAAAAGTCAATTTTATTTACATGACTCAAAACCACAAATATGTCTTATACAACACATAACACCTTCCATCCTCAGAATCCACCAACTTGCCATTAAGGTTCACGCTGTTGCCAAAGTTAGATTCGAGTATGGGGGGCATGGAAACTGACTGAACTTCATCCTGTGTCTGTTAAAAGACTTTTATGTTTCAGACTGTGAATATCAAGTTATGAAGAGGTACATTAAATTTAGTGTATTGCAATAGGCTTAATCTAAATACTGCTTTTGTGAAACTTATACTGTTCAAGCCCTGTTGAGGCTGGGTGAGAAAAGCTGCTCAAGCAACTAGAATGGATGATTTGTTGCTTAGAGATGTAGCTATATGCATATTGTACATATTCTATATGATGTATATGAATATGATATACCATAATGTAAATCATGCCAAAAAATCAGTATATATATTCATATCTCCAAGCTTAAATGTGGTAGTTATATAGTAAATTTATTTTCCTTTCCAGTTTGCCTCAAGTCTTTATCCACATTAACCTGACGGAGGAGCTTTCCAGGAACTCTGACAACCTGATGTTGCTGCCTTCCAGGAAAAAGGACAGACTCACTTAATCACTCACTCGCTCAGTCACTTCCCAGGGCCAACCAGAGACAAATCAGGATCTGCCTTCTTTCAGAGGGATTTCATTTTCCACACTATCGGACAAGTAAGTCAATTTCTCTTAAAAATATACAGGAAAATCTTCGGAGATCTCTAATGGCATAAATTAGTGATTATTCAGAAAACTCGACTGGAACAAAAGAGGGATGATGCTAATCAGGGAGTCTAATGTGGGTGTGAGGATGTCTGAATACTTCTTGCACTCAGAAACATGCATACATTTTATGTATCTCCATTTGTTGGAACTCAGGCTTCGTAATCTCTGCCTGTGCTGCATGAAATATCAAATGCCATGTTTTAAATAAATCAAACTCGGAAAACAAACGTGGACAGCATGAAAAAGATTATGTAAATTTGTTGAAAAAATAGATTTCTGACTTCGGAGGCGCTGGTGTCTGAGCTTCCTACAAGCTACTGAATGCACTGAAGCGTTTACACTTCCCACCCCCTAAATATTGTGGTGACTACAAACATTGTATTACATTAAATCTTTAAAAAGGTAAGTTTAATAAAGTCCCTTTGTATAAATTTAACAATAGCTAACACAGAAACTATGGTGAACAAAAAACATCTTTTTCATTCATTTACTGTAACTGTTAATTCTGGTAGGGGTCATGGGAGGCCTGGAGCCTGTCCCAGCTGACGCTGGGCGAGAGGCGGGGTACACCCTGGACAGGTCGCCAGACTATCACAGGGCTGACACGTGGAGACAGACAACCATTCACACTCACATTCACACATACGGACAATTTAGATTCACCAATTACCCTTGCCTGCATGTCTTTGGCCAGAGTACTGGGAGAAAACCCATGCTGGCAAGGGGAGAACATGCAAACTCCACACAGAAGGGCTCCCCCAAACACGCCATGTTGGTTGTGGAGTCTGTGTCATGTTGTGGGAGTGACCTTGTAGCCTCTGTTCCCCAGTATAGTGGAAGAGTAACTGCATATTTATGTGTAAAAATGTGAAAAGTCCTGTTAGTAACGTTGGAATTCGAACTATTTCAGCCACGTCTGCCTTTGAGCGAAATATTGTCTTATTTGTGTCACCTCATAAAGGAGTAACAGCACACACTCAAATAACATACCTGTTTTCCTTGTCTACGTGTCAGCACTGAAAATGGAGTTTTTGAAAATCTTACCCTAGACAGACTTTTACAAAAGGTTTGTTTTCAGTGACCTAAAACTCAGTTTGCATGTGGACAAAAGGTAAAAATGCAGTGAAACGGCTGCGTTGTAGGAAGGCCAGAGAGTTCACAAACAACCCACACTGCTCATTACTTTAATTAGCCACAGCTTTTTTAGTCCATTAGCACAAGCTGTTCCATCTCCTGCTATGTCAAGGCTGTGAACCAACCATTTCACTGCTGATAAACATGACCTGTTCATTAAACTAGAAGCCTGTGAGCCCATGACAAAAAGGAGTTAAAAGATGTCATTTACTTTATGTTTTCAATGTAATTATGGTTTAAAAGACAACATTTACCATGGCTTGGATGCTGCTGTGTGTATGTAGAACTCCCTTGGGTCTCCCTGTGGTACCACTGGTGTAGATGATCATAGCTGGTCGATCAGCCCAGTCCGTGATGCCTCCTTTCTCCTTCTCCTGGGTGTCTACTTCATCTAAATTGCTCAGGTTAGAAGTCGGGGGCAGTGTCAAGCATGGCAGCCCCAGCCTCTGTGCCAGTGGCTCAAGGGTTTCAGCATAGGGATGCCCTGCCACCAGCAGTGAACTCTGGGAGTCAGAGATGATGTACTCCAGCTCAGATTCAGGGTGCTTTCGGTAAAGTGGCACCGCCGTCCCACCACTCATCCAAGCCGCCCACTGTGCCACTGTATAGGAAGCATCATTGGCACACAAGAAGGAGATTCGTTTTCCTCCCAGACCCCCAAAGTCAGAGTTGAGAGTGGTGCTGATTCTACCCGCAAGACCTAAGCTGCTGCAATACAGCTGCTTGTAGCTGTGACTGCCACTGCTGTCTATGATAGCAAGCTTATCTCCAAATGCTGGGGCTTTGGTAAACACTGGCCTCTGGTTTATCCTTGATGACGGCGCTATAGTCCATCTATGAGCCCCTCTTTGAACCACAGCTCCCAGTAGCCATTGCCCTGGCTTTGATGGGATACAAGTTCTGTGAAGAGGGGCTTTCCAGTGAGGTAATGTCCACTTCAGAGAGTGACAGGCGGCAGCAACAACTCCTGACAGCATGTTTGAGCTGCTCAGACCCTCCAGAGTCAGAACCTCAGGATGGCTCCATCCTCAGCCTCTTGCATCCAGACATCTGTGAGTTGACAGGAAAAAGGATTAGTTTTATCAAGCAACAGACAGAGTTTGACATCTTTCCCTGGAGGCAAAATACCATATGAATCCAAGTATCCTCCTGACGTCCTTCTGTAATATTTAATTTGACCAATTGGCAATCACTTTTCCTTCACTTTCATTCCTCTAGCATTGCACTAATTAACACAAGTTCAGTGCACATGGTTTCAATTTATTGCTTCTATCACTCAGCGAATAGAAAAAGGGACAGGTTGAAAAAATGATTAGTTAATTATTAGAAAAATTAAAGCTGGAGACATTACAAAAGATAGATTGCCAAAATCAAAGCAGCAGAGGCTGAGGAATGCTGACTATTATTCTAAAATATCCTGCATAATATTGGATCTTACATTTTCCATGATAAGACTCATTGCTCCGCATAACTCCAGGTTGTAACTCAGACTCCTTGACATCATCAAGACTGTTTTGGTCAGACTTTGGGAAGCTCCCACCAGAGTCACAGAGTTAATTATATACACGTTCTCAGCGGCATGGGAACACTCTCTGTGATGATTAAACTGCAGTGGAGTGTCTCTTTCTGAGTTTTTGGACTGTTGATCTATCTGAGGAGAGCATCTGTGTCTGTGTGACTGTCATCACTGTCTATGATCTTTTCTATTTCTAAAGACATGTTTTATATGTTTCTATAAACATATAATAATCAGAATCACTTCTACCGGCCAAGTATGTACACATAGGACTGTGACTCAGTTTGCTTTTAAAGTGAAATAGATATTCAGCTAAAAACAAGGACAGCAAAGCTAAATCTGCTGATTTGAAGCTAGATATATAAACTACTAGTTTAACTACATTTTGCAGCAGCTTGCTGGTAGTTCAACTGCAGTTATTTGCAGTATGAATCAAATACTTAAGTTACATTTTTGCAATTTTTTGTGTTGTTAACTGGTGAAACTGCAAAGAATTTTGGCCCATGAAAGGAAAGGAATGATTTTTTTAATTTTCATTTTACCATTGCTTCTCAACTGTAATTAAACCACCTGCGACAACAAATTAGTTGTTAGTATTTATTATTTTAATCTATTAATAAATGTTAGAATGCTATTTTAAAAGTTACCTGGCTCACTGAGTAATCTTTCTTGGTGTAATACCTCTACCTGGACTCCTGTTTATCTATTTATTTTTTGTTTATGAGCTGTGAACTAGGGCTGGGCGATATGTCATGAAAATCATATCACAATATTTTTAGGCTATATCTTAATACTTGGTATATATCTCGATATTTTTTAAATCTCCTTAAAAGCACTTCATCAACCCTAGGACCGGGAGAATCAAACATAATATTTCTGACTAAATACTCTCTCTGATTTGACACAGTTGTACGGATAACTATTGTTTTTTTTTGTTTGTTTGTTTTATTTTCAGAAAATATTAACACAATGAGATTCTTGATCAATAATCACCAATAATGTGGATATCACGACTAAGTGGGTTAAGCCAAGTGTTAAAGCAAATAGAAAAGTCTGGTTAGAAATCACACAGCCAGTAATAATTAATATTATACTTGCATTGTGTGCAATAACTATTATTTATTTATTTACTTTATGTGCAATAATTTTAACTTATTTAATGTTCATGGCATATGTTGGCACTGCTTGTGTGTGCATTTGTGTGTGTGAATGAATTATATCTTATCCCCTCCTTTATTATTAATTCATTACTTTTATAATGAGTTCCTTTGTATTATGTGCATTAAATTTTGTTGTTTATTTACAATGACAATAAAAGGAACTGACTTGAAATGAATAGTTGATTCATTTACATCACTTTACTGTAATGCAGACATTTTTATCAACACCATATATCCAAAATCATGTTACAACAATATCCAAAATCGAACACAATATATAGTCTCATATCTCCCAGACCTACTGTGAACAAGCGGGCACTTTTTACAATAAACTAAACTGAGTGGCATTTTTTCTGGCATGTGACTTTTAGTATTATTTAGTTAGAATTTTGTACAACATGCAATTTAGTGTCAATTTGATCAAGGTTACTTGTAGCTTCAGTTAACCAAACAAGTCTTCTCCCCAGGGTAGCCTCCGAGTTCAACTTCAGCTTCCCCAATACTGTTATAATGAATATATAAAAAGAACACAATGACATTTGTAACCAGTAGATTGTGGATACACTTTTCAAACCTATGACGTTATTCAGTGTAACTGTGCCCACTGAAATTAACTAAACACTGTCGAATTAAAACAGAAACTAGCGAACTGTTCTTTCTGTTGCTGCCACGAATGTTTGTCAAGTTCACGTTACCTGTAATTAACCGTTAAGCTAATGTTGACTGCATTTGACATAATGTTAGATAACTGACAGCGAATGACAAGAGACGACCCTGATACGGACCGGAACTCAGCCACAAAGTACGGACGAAAAAAATCCCGTCTTTACAACAAATAATACGTGAATACTTCTTATGTTATACCCGTGTTCCGCTGTACACATGTCCCCTAAAATTCATATTTCTCTTACCAATACATGAGCCGGTACGTCTTGTAGTGAAGGACAGCGCAACGGCCTTACTCTTCCGACATAAAACAAGTGCCGCGTCAATGGTTCCTGCCTCGTAAGTACACAGTACGAGTACACAGTAGCTCTTGAGTGGTGACTGAGAGTTTAAAAATAGTAATTGTTAGAGAACATTGTGTTTTGTGACTTTAATGACTATTTTTCCACTATTTGATTTAAAGGGGAACTATGCCCATTTTCAAAACTCATACACTTACTTTCTATGGTCTGAGACAGCATAAAAATCTAAGTAAAAATTAACATCTCTTTCACAAATCCATAAACTAAAGTGCTAAAACTCAAGTTTATGGTGTCATAAGGCTCCCAGTAAACACAAACTGGAATGTTATAGATCAGTGGTTCACAAATGGTGGGTCATGGTCCAAAGGTGGGTCGCAAGTTCATTCTGAATGGACCGCAAGTGACTCGAAACGTGTCAAGTTTGTAAAAAAACACACTTTATTTTTATGTACAGTGAATTTCTGGCACAGAGCTTTTATTTTAAATGTTGTTTCCTGTTGTAGATTGAGTGAAAAATGGACAGCTACTTAACAGACACAGCAAACTAGCTCACTGACATTGCCAAATGCAAGTATGATGCTGAATGTATGACCTTGAACTAAGACTAAGGAGGAGTCTGGATTACTGTTATAGATTACTGTTATAGATGACACTGAGAGTACCCAGGGGAATGCTATGAGTATATGGGAACATTTTCTAATTAAGAACTGAGAACATTACAATATAGTGTTCATTTGGGGGGGAAAGAAAACCAAGCTTTATGCCCTATGACATCACAAGTTTGAGACTTACTTCCTCAGTTTCTGGCTTTGACGGAGAGTAGCTTATGTTCACAAATATTGATTACACCTTTCTAGGCCATGGAAATCTCATACTGGAATTCTTAATGTAGGTGGTGTTACCCTTAAATGAGCACCTGTGCAGATAATTATGACATTGCATTGCCTTTAAGATGAATTAATGTAGTTTTTTTGTATTAGATGAGGCCTATTTAACCTTTTTGTTGGAAATTTATGTGTTTAAATATTACACACATGATCTGATGTAGTACTTTCTGCTAAATGCAAGAGGCAACACAATCATTTCTAAAGCCACTGGAATACATAGTGAGTATACCCACTTCCTCCTCGGTAAAATATCCATCTACCTAGCAGTGCACCCACGTCATCATCTACAAATGCACCACTGGATAACTCCATCACTGATTACAGAGATATTAGCATTACTTGTTGTTTTTTGTCTGCCATCCTGTGGTCCCTAACTCTGCTAGGTAGCTGTTGGCAAGGCCTGCCCCCATTTTGGAGGACCTGCAGATCCAGTGTAGAGGCTGCTCACCAGAGATGAGGACAGGGGGAGAGAGAATGCAGCATATATGCAGCTACCCCACACAGTGCTGTGTTTGGCTTTAGATCACATGCCAGTCCTACCACTCAGTGTGCCAACTAGCTTGGCTGGCTTCATCATCACAGTGCAAGTGGGCACATTCAGCCGCCAGCTGGCAGTCGCGTGCCTCAGATAAGAGAATGGTACAGACATGGCACACGTTCAAAAAGTTTTCACTTCCCTCCCCAAACCCCCTACACTGCAAACGAGGATGGCATGTTCCTAACGAAATTGGAGCCTTTGTTTCAGAGAACTCCCCTCCACTCTCAGGAATAGTATCGTCAAAGACCACTCGTTCCCATTCGTGGGGAAAACGCTATTCAAGGGGATGCTATGCTACCCCAGCAGCTATGTAATTTCCAGAGACTCCTTTTTTGTAGGATATTTGTACAGTCTTTAGTCTTTTTTGATGCAGATGGCACTGCCGCATTTTCTAAGGATTCGACCTAAAAAAGACTGAATGTCGTCTTCGATTAAACAAAATAAGGCACAGACGACCCATGCTTTTGGATTTGTTTCCTGGAAGTTGGCCATATTTTTGACATGCGCTATATGGGGACTGGAATCTGAGCCATTGAGGGAGTTATCTACAGCTACTGGAGACATGCAGGGATGGATGAAGAGTGGAGGATGATAAAGGGTATCATGTATTTGTTTGTTTGTCAGAGGTGAGAGGACAAGACATGGCTACCGTCAGGAGTTATGGTTACGGTTATGGCGAAAACACGATTAGAAAGAGTATCAAGCAGGAGCTGGCACTCTGATGCAATGGCCTGCTGCCAGCACACCATTCAGCAAAGACCACCTGAAAGGATCTCGCCGCTGATGGGCAGGATGGCCGCGAGCAGGCGCCAACTCCCATCTTGGCAAAGGACTGCATCTGAGGAAAAGAGAAAGAGGGAAAGAGGGGACCCCCCACAGATCTATGAGAGAGGCTGAGATGGTAACACAAACCGTGGGGAGTACCCAAGCATGTGTCAGGTTGGCATCAATGTGAGAATCTCTTGGCAAGCACTCCGTTCTCTCCCCTCCCACCCCAGCTCACACACAAACACACTGTTGCCCTGCTTGGAACACATGGTACATCAGCAGCGGCATCTGGCCGCGCTGACTCCTGGCAGCTGCGCTTCGTCTTCGCCAGTTGGGAGTCTTGGCACTGCCACTTCATCAACTACCTGTGGCTCCTCCTGGGTAAAAAGGCGAGCGATGAATTATTCCAAGGCTGCAGCTGCAAACTTGACTTTCATCCAAGAGATTCACTGTAAACATATGACTGCCTCGCAGAGCACATGCCACCCACATACTAATGCACGGTTGACAACATGGCTTGTATCGTGCGCAGAGGGACTTGTGTGTCCTCATGTGATGGCACGGTTCATTTGAGGTGAAAGATGAAGGATGCTCTGTAATGATTCTCTTTGTGTTGTATCTGCACCAAGTGCTTTCACAGCGGCTCAGGGAGAAACAACTTACGGACAACTGGAAGCTCTTGGTTTACAAAAGGTGATTTTTTTTTAAAGTATCAAATCAACAAAAGCACAGTGAGCAAAAGACAAACATAAGTGGCAGTAACACAGCACTCAGAAAGGCAAAGCATTTTGGACTCAGTGCTCTTCACCAGGCAGCACCGGCCCATCTCTTTGTGTTGGGGAATGGTGTTGAAAGATCGAATCAAAAGACAGCCAAGGATTACTCTAAAAGGAATTTCTGTTCCCATTTTCATAATGAACAAATGGACGAGTGACCTTTCAACTCTGCAATTATTTCCTCACATTCAATTTCTAATGGAGGGTTTGACAACCAAGGACATTTGCCTGAAGCGCCCTGAATACATTATAGCTGTGACACCATGGATTGGAGAAAGAGTTGGACAGCTTTGTCTGAAGATTGCCTCATTATTTCACTGACACTATATATATATTTTTACATTTTATCTCAGAAAATATCTGGTGTGGAATAATCCATTTCATCACTGAGATGCATTAAATACGAACTCCTCTCCATCTGTCCAGGGATGTGTTTAGTGTCTCCTGCATTGCCAATTGATTTTTCTTAAAACCCTCATGTTCCAAGGGCAAAAACACAAAGCTTTCAATTTATCCCAAATGTCAGCTATCAAAGTTTGATAAAGATACACAAAAAACTGTGTTTATCATGATCACACTTGCAGTATTAAAGGAATACTTCACCCAAAAAATGAACATTTGTAGATCAATTTGTCGTGCCATGTTACCTTGAATTTGTGAAGAAAACTTATACTTATTGGGGACCATGTTTAAAAACAGTAAACTATATCAAAATACGCATTTTCAAACTCTCTCATAACCCATGTAGTATAATCCACATCTCATTTATCCAGTCATATGCTCAGTACTTCCCAAACACATGCATATTTTGCTAAAAAAGCATGACTAATTGGTTTCCATGTAGTCATTTTATGGGTGAAGTATTCCTTTAAATGGCAGCTTGAGCAGAGACTCTTATTGATCATATAGTTTTGGCTCTGTTTATATATGAAGTAAAGTTAAGGGAAACAGTAGAGGGAAGAAAAGTTAAAAAAAAAAAAAAAAGAAGAAACAGAAAGCCGAATTTAATGTCAGGAATTTTTGACATCCTTCTCTAGAGTTCATGGTTTGCTCTCGGCTACTCGAGCACAGCGTGACCTAATTTGAATTCAAAACTTGTTTTGTTAGTATTTATTTCTAGGCTTGTTTCAAGAGAAATGTTGGCAAGCTGTTAAAATCTGTCAAAATTTGACTACATCTCTCCCTTACACATATTCCCTCACTTTTTTTTTCTGTGGGTGTTAGTCATCTGACAGTGACCCAGTGGGAGTTTTTTCTCCATCTGTGTCGGTCTGACCCATTTTAGCCCTCGGCCACGTCCAACTGTTCCGTTTCCCAAACATATGTGTGGTGGCAGGGGGATAAGCGAACCATCGCCGCGCGGGACCTGCAGACACACTGCAGATATGACACTGGACCCTGCTTTCCTGTCTGTCTGCTTCCCACAGCATATGTCATCGTCAATACTGGCCCCGAGGATTCACACCTTAGTGATTTGACAAAACAGCACTACGACTGCTTCTCTTCCTCCTGCTCTGAGTCAAGAATGTGTGTTGTGAATTTTGCGTACCAGGAAAAGTGATTTTTTTAAGATTTGGATTATGTGTGTTTTGTTTTAGTTTTTACTTCTTACTGTTGATGCACCGCGTGTGTGTGTGTGTGTGTGTGTGTGTGTGTGTCTACTGTGAGACCATATGTGCTTGCCTCCACTGATAATCCAACCCTGCCTCCTAAAAATTATGTTTATGTTATAAAACTTCTGTCTTAATTATGTTGTGGCAACGTAATCACTGCCTGGATTCTTCAGTGACAACATTTCTGTTGGGTAATGAAACACTGTATTAATGTAGAGTGTAGGAGGTAGTTGGGGAGGATGGTGGGAGTAAAAAATGCAGGACTTTGACACAAGAACTTCGCATCCAGACTCCTGTCTTAGATTTTGGCAACAAGAGCACTTTGGTTGAATTTAGAGAAAGATTTTGGTTAGATGTTGATTAAAAAAGGTCATAAAAATAATGCTGTAGTCACTATGAGTGGATAGTGTATTGCAAAATGGTCTGTTTTGGTGGAAAACAACTGATT